CTCACGATCTGACTGTCTAGTAAAAATACCAAATCGTCCTATATAGTTATCGGGACTTCTCATAATCAGCACAAAGGCTCGCGTGTCACTGTGGACACCACACGCCGCCGCGATCGCCTTAGGCTTAGGCCCCAGTCCCCGCACATTCAATATGGACGCACACATGCTGTTACAAAAAGTAGGTCTGACAGTATTGTGAGGTATTTTAAAATTATATGTTTGTAGAGGTATCTATAATAAATTTGTACAAAAACATCTTTCTTTAATTCTTTTACCATATTCAGCTTCAAAAAGTTATTTTTAAACGAGTTATTTCTATTATTATGCATAGTGTTTTACTGTAATTTAAATACCAGTCCTACGCTACTCTTGATGTTACTCCAAAGCAAAGTACCTAGACACTCACTAACACTATTTATACACATGGAAATCTATAATAAAAATAATTGCTTCGTGTCTATCGGCAAATTGTACACGATATAAATGATTAATAATAGCCTGTTGCACCAACATCGGACTTAACGGAAGCTTTACTAAACTAATGCCCATATTCACCGTCCCTTGAGAATTACGATTAATGACTAATCCAGATTATTGCCGCGTTTTCATATGCACCGATACATCTAACACCTGCTAATCGCGTTTAGGCGTTATCCTAGCGTATTGACAGTTTAATCCGAAAATTGACAGATTGGGGTTCTAACCTTATTTCGAGTTGTTGTTGTTGATGTCTTTTTTTGCAAAAGTAATGCAGATCGAAGATGAGATTTCCCTTAACGACGATGGTGACATTCTAGATATTATTCTTTTCGGATTTCCAAGACACTATTATGAACATACAGATTTTTTAACTAGATGGAAGACCTATCGTTTTTCAGGAGATTCGGCTACAAAAAAACTGTCGTCAGATTGGTAGAACAAATAAAGCATCAACTCGAGTTTGATAACAACTTGTAAGTATTTTTTACCTAATGTTAAATTACGATAATCTATTTCCTTGGCCAGAATTGAAGTTTAGACAAGAACGTCCTTAACCACCTTTTCCTCTGGCTGTGGATCTGAATCACATTAGTTATTTCCAAGATTTCAGTCACTATAAAATTTTTGTTTTTCCAGGAATAATAGTATGTCGCCCATTAATCAGCTCCTTACATGCCTACGATTTTATGCCTGCAATGCATATTAAAATTGTATTGGAGACTTTATTAGCATGCATCAGACAACAGCATCCCGTATAATTGCAAAAGCTTTAAGAGCAATAGCAGGTTTATCAAATCAATATATCAGAATGCCCAATAAAGGTGATGAAATAATAAGAGTTCAGAATGGCTTCTATAGGATCTGTAGATTTCCACGAGTCATTAGATGCATTGACGGGACGCACATAAAGATGCAATCACCAGGAGCTCAAGATGGAGAAGTTTTTCGTAATAGAAAGTCATATTTTTCTATAAATACTGAAATAGTTGCTGGGCCAGATTTGATTGTTGCTCGATGGCCAGGATCTACCCATGATTCAACTATTTTCAATGCCTCCCACCTAAGATCACGCATTGAAGGGAGACAATTTCAGAACGCGGTTCTCGTGGGAGATAGTGGTTACCAGCTGAAAGTCTACCTAATGACACCCCTACAAGATCCAGGCAATCTTTATAATGTGCAATGTAGTAGAAACATTAATTGGTGTTTGGAAAGGTCGGTTTCCAGTATTAGCCTATGGTAGTCGGTGTCGATTAGATAACGCTTTAACTACAATTGTTGCCACTGCTGTGCTAGCAAAATATGGCCGTGAATGTGCTAGAGGATTTGCCTCCCTATCCAAAAGAAACCCCATGCCCAAGAGCTGGATTACCTGCTTTTACAAGGAGACATTGCTCATGTACATGCAGCGAATGTTGGTCAAGACCCATTTAATTTTCGCCAAAATCTGATAGATAACTATTTTAGTTATTTACTCGTATAAAACATCTGGATAATAAACACACAATTTTTGAAAAAACTACGTACTTTTTAAAACTTTGCTACAGTATCTTTATTGCATTGAAAAAAAAAGTAACATATAATATCTTAACACAAAGTAATAATTCTCATTGTAGGGCATTGAAATTTAAACTTAGTTTTTGATTGGAAATTGTTAACTGAAGCAAATTTATTTTAAGTTTTCTTTCCATTTTTATAAATTTTTGCTTTTCATCTGTAGCTTTTGTTTTTCCAATAAGGTCAGTATTTTGTCTAAGAGTAGATTGTATTTAATTAGAAGCAATATCAGAAGATGTTAAAGCAGTCACAACTTGTTTCGGTCTTCTTTTAGACCTCTGAGGAGTCTGGGGAAAATCAGGAGAGCGACCTTAGGCCCTCACTTCATAACAGGCATCGCTCCACCTCCAGTTAAAAATCTTCGTTTTTTCGCCTTACGTATTTTCCTTCTTAATTCTTTTTTCTTATATTCATACAACATTATCAATGACTCGGCTTTTCTGTATGTAGTAGAGGGAGAAGAGGAATTAAATTCTTTTTCAATTTGGTTCCAAGCACTGCTTTAGAGGCTCTGTCGGCCTTCTTGTCCTCTAATATTTTCGCATAGCCGCGCACTTTTGCATTAAATAAATCTTTTCATCAGCAGTAAAATTTTGTTCTCATTTCTTCTGATTCCTTTCCATTTTGATATCCCTCTTGAACATATAGAAACTGTCACATTTCAGAATTTTTTGACAGAATCTAGATATTTGTAACATTGCCACGTTTTGCTCAACGATTAGGTAATCGCGATTAGAAACTGGTCCGTGCATATTCGAATCTGACGTTCCTGATCGATTCCCTAATCTGGATTAAAGTGTCAAACGATGCATAGGGGCATAAGATTAAATTTTAAACCACGTTAAATTCAGTTGCGGTTGCAACATTACAAATGAATCCGCGTTTTGTAAAACCATAGAAATTTAGTGATTTTTCCTGATATTGATCTCAGGTTGGTATGATTCTGTCAAAAAAAGGGAAACTAACCTCACATTTTGTCACATTAAAAACTATTTTTCTGCATTTGCTTTTCAAACTAGTATTGTGTTTTTGCGAAAAATGGAGGAAAAGAAACGAGTTGCGAATTTTACAAGCAACGAGAAATCGCTTCTCATTAACATTGTCGCTAGACATAAAAATATAATAGAGAACAACAAGACTGATGCGACCTCGACTTCAGAAAAAAACCAGGCATGGTTGAAGTTACAAAACAGTATAATCAAATCCAAGCGAATAACCAAAATTTCTGTGTTATGTGCCGCTGTTATAATATGGTTCAAGATGACACACTGGTTGATGACGTCAGTTACACGAATCGCTTGAACGCGTTGGTTTTGTTGCAAGTTGTTTATTTTAGAAAAGTGCGTATATAATCTCTGATTATTTTTATTATCACTTAATAATCGGTGCTTTTGTCTACAACGGTGTATGGAAAGTTTAAATAAGAAACCTTTCATAATATTCATGGGAGATGGAATGATGGAACCATTGTTTTGTAGCTATGATAACTTTTAATTCTCTAAAGTTTTCCGCATGTCAAAGAAAACATCTATTGATTTAGCAGAAATTATGAAAAAACGATTAAAAAAGATATTAGCAAAACTGTATACAGGTGGACACCATCTAGTGAGTTAAATGGCCATATTTTAATATTCTTGTGGTATATGGCTACACAGGATACTTTGTTAAACATAGGAACTAGATTGAAAGTGTTCCCAACAACAGTAATGAGTATAACTAATAAGGTGCACCACTTTATGCTAACACTGAAGTCAGCCTGAATCAAGTTTCCCAAAAATGAAGCTGAAGTACAATAACAATAATCAAATTCAAGCGCATAACCAAATGAAAATGGTATTTACCATTTTGGGTTGGTATTTACTGATCCGTTCAAGCGAGTGTGGTTATCAGTTTGGTTATAAGATCCGTGACGTCATGAATCAGTCATCAATATGTCATAGTTATCACCGTAAAATGGTGGTATTTACCCAACTCAGAAGTAGTTTTATATTTCTGGTTATGCGGAAAACTTTAGAGAATTGAAAGTTATCATAGCTACAGAACCATGGTTCCATCATTAACAATTTTTTTCTGAAAAAAAAAACATTTCTCCCATGAATATTATGAAAGGTTTCTTATTTAAACTTTCCGTACACCGTTGTAGACAAAAAAGCACCGATAATTAAGTGATAATAAAAATAATCAAAGACTATATACGCACTTTTCTAAAATAAACAACTTTAACAAGTTTAAAGAACTGGAAGTTCTCATAGCTACAAATTCGTGTTTCCACTATTAAAATTTTGAGCGTCATATCCTTTATATTCACGACAATCTTGTTTGAACATAAGAGCGATTTTCTCAAGTGATTCAACACATGAACAATATCTTCTGAGAAAAAACATTTCTCCCAATCTATATTATGAAAGTTTTCTTTTTTAAACTTTCCATATCACTGTTGTAGATGCACCGATTATTAAGTGATAATAAAAATAATCAAAAATTAGGTATATACGCGCTTTTCTAAAATAAACAACCTGCAACAAAACCGCGGTTGAAGCCAACGCGTTCAAGCGATTCCTGTAACTGACGTCATCAACCCGTGTGTCATCTTGAACCATATTATAACCGCGGCACATAACACAGAAATTTTGGTTATTCGCTTGGATTTGATTAATATCCAATACCCGGCAAACTTCTAACTAGTCACATTTCAAATAATAACCAGAAATATAAAACTACTCCTGAGTTGGGTAAATACCACAATTTTGCGGTGATAACTGTGACAAATAACAGCTGATTCATGACGTCACGGATCTTATAACCAAACTGATAACCACACGCACTTGAACGGATCGGTAAATACCAACCCAAAATGGTAAATGCCATTTTCATTTAGTTAACCGCTTGAATTTGATTTATAACAGTAGTGGTCCAACTTATTCGAGGGACACAGATTGTTTGAAACGCTGTTACGAGAACCAAAAAAAGCTATTGAGGAAGAATATAGCTTTAAACAGACGGGAGCTGTATAAAACAGGTGGTGGGGTCCCTGAACCCACCAAAAAAAAGTTACAAACAGAACCAAATGAGGAACCTCTCCTTTCGATAGTAAATGGAAAAAGCATAATGGTCTGTATAATCCTTTTGATGTAGATTCGTTATTACAGACATGATTGATTGCACCAGCATCAACAAAATTGAACAGTATAGTACACTGTGAAGATAACAGTTATATAGAGATTGTTTATGAAAGTGATAGAGTGCCAGAAATAAGTACTCATACTACTGCAGATAAGGTTATGGTGGAGATCTCAGAACAGGTTTGTAAATATAGTGGCTCATTTATAAGTAGAAAAATCTATTTCATCATACACTAATTGCCCAAACAGTGGCATTCTAAATACAAAAGCTGTATGATTTTTAAAGTTTATTGCGATATTTTTGATAAAATTATCCAATATCAAAATTACTTTTCTTTCAATTAAATATTCCTTTATTAGATTCAAATATTGTAGCAAAATGTGATGATCATTTAATTATATGGTTGTCTCTCATTTTTAGCAATCAAATGAAGCATCCTCAAGCAGCTACACAAACATCAGAGAATTGGTTCCTGGAAGCCATCAGTTGGGTGCAGAAGAAAGAAAAAATAACAGTGTAAAGTATTCAATACTTATTTGGTTCTTCATTATCAGTAATTTTTTCCTGTTTTTAGTTTGCACTACAAAATAATGTATTGGGAAAATATAAACCAACTGATCTAAAAAAGAGTTGCAGCACATCATTGAAGCAAATCCATGGTAAAGACAAAAATTATATCAAATTTGATATTGCTTTTATTAAACTATAAACTATGGATGGAAAGTGCCAACCAGGCAAACTTAAATTCAAGTTAGCCTCTTTAAAAAAACAACAAAAATTCAAATTCATAGTGAAATTGATTCCACACAAAAATGTTATTTGTGTATAAGTTTTGTAAGGTTGGTAACATACATTTTCAGTAACATAATGACTTAGTTTTGATTTGAATTCTCCTGGTTGGTGTATATTCAGACTAATGAAATAAATTTTATTTATTTTTAGGGTTGTTGAATCAAACATCTGTACCAAGTAGGAGCTCAAGAAGTCGTCCTGCAACAGTTGTAAAAACCCTCACTTCATTTGATATAGCTGCCAAATACAATCAATTATTAGATATACGTTTAGATTTATGTAAGATGACAAAACTTAAATTGGAACAACATGTGAACAAGAAAAACAACTATGTCTCTTAGATATGCAAATTCAAGTTGAGAAAGAGAAATTATCGAAAATCTAAAATTCAATGTTCTAAGATATACTACTATTCCTATTATGTTTTAAGGTATTAAATTACTGTTCCTATTAGGTTTTAAAATATTATAATATATTATATACCTTAATAAATATTTTCAATTATCCTCTGATGGCCTGATTCTTACCATGTTATCATTTAACATGTTTCGGTTGAACACTTTTAATTTATATAGAAGATAGTACCAGTGTAGCTTAAAATCATTAGTCTCAAGCAAAAAATAAAAAAGCAAAGGCAATGTTTGGATTTTCAAATTTAGTTTAGATCCCCCAGTAGCTTCATTTTTTATATATTAAAAGATTATCAAGGTGTTCTTATCACAATTTTGTATGTATATAGTATAATTCTTCCTTCTTTGGACTTATTGTTTTTATCAGTCCTTTGATTTCATTTGTAATAGAGAAAATAGGGTAAGGCAATAATAAAAAATTAAATATCCATCATGAGTACCTACATTAAATGTTTCCAAAATAATTATTTATGTTATTTCTAACAAGTTGACCATGTCCCACATGATTTGGCAAACTTTTAGAATTTGTCATTTGCCCAAGATCAATGACACAGTTGAGCCTATTTCTGTTTTCTACTGGTGGTTCTGGTTCACTCATCTGCCTGGCAAAATTATGTAGCACTGCAGTGGCAACCACAACAGTCATTGCAGTTTCTGTTTTTAAACGCATGCCATAAGCTAGACATGGGAAGCATTTTTTCCAAACGCTAATGGTTCTTTCAATGATATTCCGGGTTTTTATTAAAGATTCATTATAAAGCTGTTCAGGTCTGGTCCTTGGTTCCTCAAGTGGTGTTAGCAGGAATGGTTGCAAATCATATCCACTATCTCCTTAAAAGCAAAATGACACATGAATACACATATGTATAACCAGGGCAGTTCTATAGGTGATGTAGCCCCAAAACAGATAACATTTTTATTCCTTTTACTAATCACATTTAAATTTGTTGTAGGTACTCATGTGAGGCTCCAGAAGAACTACTATCTAGTCTAGATCTACCCTTCCATGCAACATGTAAGTTAACAATATCTTTAATGCTATATGTTATAATCACGCAAACAAGTACTACTCACCCAACAGAATACCAGTGCTAAATTCTCCATCCTCAAAACGCCTGCAGATTCTACTGTTCATGAAAATTGTAGCATCATGTGTGGACCCTGGTCACTTTGCTACCACATCAGTGAACTTCATGTCTAAATCACACATAACTTGTACATTCAACAAAAAGAAGCCTTTTGGGTTCCTGAATATTTCTCCATCTACACCTCCTATAACACATAATTTTTTGAATTAATTCTTGAATTTCCTATCCAGGTTTCAGAGTCATTATATAGTTTCATTTAGTACAAAATATGTTACATACTCATTAACCTATTATTAAAGACAACTTTGGGTAGGAACAAACCTGGATTCTTTATCTTAATGTGTGTTCCATCATTCACACAAACAATTCTAGGAAGTCTAGAAATATTGTAGAACTTTACTTGTTCATCAAGCAAATCTTCTGGCATCCTCACGTATCGTGGATACAGTTTTGCAATCGCGTGGGATACCCTCACAATAACTCTAGAAACTGAGAGGTATCCATTTCTGAAAAACCTGCCAAACTATTTAAATCTCCACCAGTAGCATAATATCTTAGAGTAACCAATAACTGGTTTATTGGTGACACACTGTTGTTCCTGAAAAAAAAAATTCAGATTTGAGTATAAAATGGAAATAATTATATAACTCTCACTGGGAAATTCCAATTCAGGCTCAATTTCAGCCAAGGTGTCCTAAGCAGTTGCTTTATATAAACGAAATTTTCTGAAAAACTAGTAATCACTGAACTCTTCGAAACAGTGTTTCCTTTCAATAATCCTTCTAGGAAAACCATTATTTATAAGTTCGAGAATATCCAAGTCGTCATTAAAAATATCCTCAAAGTCAAATTCCATTTTAAAAAGCAGAAAACCCAACAAATTATTAGCCGTAACATAAGGCACAGGAGCGCAGCTATAAATCTACCGACTACAAACTTTAAACGACGTTTAAACCCCCGAAATTGACCGTTTAAATTAAACCCAGTTTACAGAATCTTAAACAGCTTTTAAGTATTGGTGCAACCGAAATCTTCAGCTTAAACTACGTTTATGCTTAAAGTCTCGTTATCTACTGTTGGTGCAACAGGCCATAAAAATTTGGGTACTGTTGCGTCTTGTATAACTTCGGATTTCACTGTTTTTTTCACTTGAAACTTCTAGAGGGTAGTCTGATAGATTATTTTAAATAAAAAAACGCTTTTCATGCATTTTTCCCAAAACACGAATTTCTACCATTATAGGCGTATTTTTTAATTCCCCGGTTGAGCCACCGGTACAACTAATGAACCAATTATCCAATTTTACTTCCTTTAATTTCCGTCTGACGGTCTGAGCTGAGCGACCGGTTGTACACCAAACTTGTCTATAATCAAATTCAAGCGAACAACCAAAATTTCTGTGTTATGTACCGCGGTTATAGTATGGTTTAAGATGGCGCACGGGTTGATGACGTCAGTTACTCGAATCGCTTGAACGCGTTGGTTTTAACCGCGGTTTTGTTGCAGGTTGTTTATTTTAGAAAAGCGCGTATATACCTAATTTCTGATTATTTTTATTATCACATAATAATCGGTGCGTCTACAACAGTGATATGGAAAGTTTAAAAAAGAAAACTTTCATAATATAGATTGGGAGAAATGTGTTTTCTCAGAAGATATTGTTCATGTGTTGAATCACTTGAGAAAATCGCTCTTATGTTCAAACAAGATTGTCGTGAATATAAAGGATATGACGCCCAAAATTTTAATAGTGGAAACATGAATTTGTAGCTATGAGAACTTCCAGTTCTTTAAACTTTTCCGTATATCAAAGAAAACATTTATTGATTTAGCAGAAATGATAGGAAAAAGCGATGAAAAAAAAGATATTAGCAGAGCCATATACAGGTGGTCACTATCCAGTGAGTTTATATGGCCATATTTTAATATTCTTGTGGTATATGGCTACACAGGATACTTTGTTAAGCATAGGAACTAGATTTAAAGTGTTCCCAACAACAGTAATGATTATAACAAATAAGGGGCTCTACTTCATGCTAAAACTAAAATCAGCCTGTATCAATTCCCAAAAATGAAGCTGAAATGAGAGACATTAGTGAAGGTTTCATGAAGCATCCAGTTAAGTACACGTTTCTGAATACTGCAAACCTAGGGTGATACCGCCCCCTGCATTTCGCACAATTATTTCCCTTTTGTTACTTCATATTTCCCCAGATTTTCTCAGTATATTTCCCCAGAAACCGGTCAATATTGCCTTGGTGGTTTCCTCCTCATGTAAGGCCTAGTCATTCATGTTTTAGAGACAAATAGGTATTTAGTACAATTATTACTCTATATTATATTCAAAATTTTTTGGTTGGTTCTAATTGATGCCATCACAACCTGTCCTGTAATAGAATTTATTTGAATATACATATCTATTTAGTTAATAAGTTACATCTGTTTCAATTTATTATTATTTTCAGCAGTTATTGGATCAGTAGACATATTTGTAAAGGTTGAAAAAAGTCAGCAAGATAGCTACATAGACTGCTATAGAAGAACATCTATAAATTTCATGGCAATATGTGATTCTTACACTTTATTCACTCACGTGTTTTTAGGATACCCTGGATCTGCCCATGACTCACGGGTATGTGTTAATAAAAATAAGAAAACGCCCCATTTTGAAGTGAATATTTATTACATCTTTATTATATTGCAATAAAACTTCAAACTAGTATTTAAGAGGAAGTGAAAAAAGCTTTGCACCAGTTAAATTTTGGTATACAACACATCATAGGAGAACATTAACATTTTTTTATATTTTCATACTTTTATTTCAGGTTTTTGAAAATTCAATTATGTGCAAAAACATTGAGAGACATGGGCCAAACTTCTACTTTTTGGATAGGTACTCAGAATTATCACCTAATTGGTGATAGTGCATTAAAAACTTGGCTTATTTCTCCTTACCGAGGCGAAAATTTGACCAGAAAGCAAAAATTTCACAATTACTGCTTTAGTTCCGACAGCGTAAAAATTGAACATTGCTTTGGGGCATATAAGGGTAGGTGGAGAAGGGTGCAATATATAAATACGTATAAATTTGAAAAGCAGTGGAGATTGCAACAGCTGCATATGTTTTACACAATTTTTGCATTTTGCATAAAGACACCTGGAGTAACATTTTTTTTGGAATTGACCTGGGCAGAAATATAAATTAGGCTGAACTAGAAGATAGGGGTAACATAGAAGCAAAGCGGAAAATAAATATACTAAGTGACATATAAATCCGAACACCCAGTTTAAATGGTTTTATTTTAATAAAATTTTGTATAAGTACTTGATGAAGCATAATAAGTAAATGATAAAAATTTCAAAATGATTGCACTGCCTTAAAGCCCTTTGACCTTTAATAATGTGTGGATGCACCCTGATGTGCTACGCATTCTCCAACGCGCCTAGGCATGCTTCTGATCAGGTGGTCAATGTCCTCCTGTGGTATCTCATTCCAGGCAACCACCAACTCCTCTCGAAGTGCTTCTAGAGTCTGAGGATGACGTTGCAAATTGAGCAATCTCCTACCCATCATATCCCACACTTGCTCAATTGGGGATAAGTCGGGAGATCTTGGTGGCCATGGTAACAATGTGACATCATTATGTTGAAAGAAGTCTATTGTGACTCTTGCAACATGTGGTCGGGCATTATCTTTTTGGAAAGTTGGATCTGCCAGGGTGTCAGGATAGGGTAAAAGATGGGGTTCTAGAACTTCGTGCATATAACGCTGCGCGTTCATGTTGCCTCTGATGAAGATTAAAGGTGACCTGGAACCATAAGCTATAGCACCCCAAACCATAACTCCAACAGTGTGATGAACATGTCTTTCAACAAAAAACTGTGGATTCCTCCTTTCACCACGTCGCCTTCTAACCCTTACACCGACGTAATCGGCTTGAGTGGTGCAGACAACGGTCACTCTGGGATCAGGAATGGAACAGTATTGTCTTTAGTGACGAGTCTCGATTTTGTTTAGGCATGCACGATGGTCGTGCCAGGGTTAGAAGGCGACGTGGTGAAAGGAGGAACCCACAGTTTTTTGTTGAAAGACATGTTCATCACACTGTTGGAGTTATGGTTTGGGGTGCTATAGCTTATGGTTCCAGGTCACCTTTAATCTTCATCAGAGGTAACATGAACGCGCAGCGTTATATCCACGAAGTTCTGGAACCCCATCTTTTACCCTATCTTGACACCCTGGCAGATCCAACTTTCGAACAAGATAATGCCCGACCATATGTTGCAAGAGTCACAATAGACTTCTTTCAACATAATGATGTCACATTGTTACCATGGCCACCAAGATCTCCCGACTTATCCCCAATTGAGCACGTGCGGGATATGATGGGTAGGAGATTGCTCAATTCGCAACGTCCTCCTCAGACTCTAGAAGCATTTCGAGAGGAGTTGGTGGTTGCCTGGAATGAGATACCACAGGAGGACATTGACCACCTGATCAGAAGCATGCCTAGGCGCTTTGGAGAATGCGTAGCACATCAGGATGCATCCACACATTATTAAAGCTCAAAGGGCTTTAAAGCAGTGCAACCATTTTGGAATTTTTATCATTTACTTATTATGCTTCATTAAATACTTATACAAAATTTTATTAAAATAAAACCTTTTAAACTGGGTGTTCGGATTTATATGTCACTTATTATACAATTGCAGTCACTTTATTCTTATGCAGATATAACATAGAATAATATTATTGTACTGTTTTTCAATTTAAATTGAATAAAAAACTATTGTTTTTCATTTTAATTTATTTATTTCTACTTTCATTTGAACTTAATTATTCTACACACAAGGTTTGTTAGCTATCACAAAAGGTATGGTACCTTTTTTTATGGAAGGATTGAGTTCTACACATTGGCAATGTCTTCCTTGAATAAAACTAAGATATTAGAACAAGTAACTATTTATTACGGAATTTAAAAATCTCAAATAAAAACAAAAAGAAATACATATTAACCAATAATAATCCTAGTCAGTGTCAGAATCGTTTGCCACTCCTTCTTTTTTTTGTCCCAAAAGCTGCCTCAACAATTTCTAAGAACCTGTTGTTCTGTTTTCTTCAAATGTTTTTTCAAAAAACTAAATTCTTCAGTTCTTATTTTTCTATCCTTTTCCATTTCTCTTATCAAGTCATCATGCTGAGAAGTTGTTACCTTTCGAGTTTTTTTTAAATCGGCTAACTGGTGTTGTTGAGGGACCCAATTGAGTTTCCTCTGAATCTGTATGATCTGGTTGTTGCTCTTCTATTTCATTTTTCACACTTCCTGATGTTTCATCTATATCCATTGAATCCTCTAGATTTAATGGGGTTACCTTATGCTTGCATCCTAAAAATTATATTGGTAAGTACTTCCACCTGCTTTGACTAAGGAATCTAAAGGTACACATTTTTGTTTTTTGATGGTACATACCAGAATTTTTATAATTACGAACATGACAAAAGAAAAATTAAAATAATGTCATGACATACAATAACAGTACTACAAGCTTGCTTAAGATAGTAATGTGAAAGTAAAAGAAGAATTATACTAACCTAGAATGGAGTGGACCTCATCAAAAAAATGGAGGAATGTCATCATTTCTGTCACTTCCTTTTGTAGTTTGATGTTTCTATAGGTGCAAATTCGCAAACTTTTGACGACACCTCTCTCCTTCTTTGTTCCCAAGATGGAAATTATTTTCCTCTAACTCTTTTGCTATGTCATTCCACAATTAAAGTTTTCTAGTTCTTTTGTCGTCAAAGTAAGAACTTTTTTTTCTCTCTTAAGGACAACATTAAATGAGTTGCTTCATTATCCATTTCAGAAGGCATCTTCTTTGTCCAAATCATATCATTAATAGATGTTGGTTGAATGGTCGAGTCATTTTCATTGTGGGGCATAGACCACATAGATTGAAAATCATTCTGAGGTTGAGTTTCGGAGTCATTGTGCTCATGCTGAGACCCCAATGGACACAGATAAAATATATTGCTCTGCAGCAGCAGCATCTAAAATTTCATGCCAAACCTATTTAAATATAAAAAATATGCAACTCTCATAATTGATAAACCTCAAAGCGAATTATAAGAAGTATCTAGTTCTGAGACAGAGTTTATGAGTGAATATGTGCATACCATGTAGAAAAAGTCACATAATATGTAGTTATCTAGAATCAATAGGGTCAGTTTTACCTTGCACCCACCTCTTTATTATTTAAATAGCCCAGAAATATCAGGCTTTTTCTAGAAGGTATACAATATACTTTCCTTGCTTATCATACTATATAGTTACCATTCAAAAGTAAATTGGCCATTTCAAGGTCTTTAACGCAGACCTCGTAGTTTACGCCTTCATAGTTTAAAGTTAGATAAAATTGCTCCATATTATTTTCAATTTAATAACGAACTGCAAAACTGCTCTTTTAAACGCGCATATAACCTCACAAGCACGACGAAAATATCCAATACCCGCCAAAATTCTAACTTGTCACATTTCAAATAATAACCAGAAATTTAAAACTTTTACGGTGATAACTATGACACATAACAGCTGATTGGTGACGTCACAGATCTTATAACCAAACTGATAACCACGCTCGCTTGAACGGATCGGTAAATACCAATCCATAATGGTAAATACCATTTTCATTTGGTTAGTCCCTTGAATTTGATTTAGATAGTTTATAGCACAAAACACATAAGACTGAAGAAGCACAAAATATACACTGAAAGAATGCTAACTCAGTGTAATTCAACCAGCAACACGAATGTCGCCATGTTTTTGTGGTGATAGAACAAATATGACACAGAAAGAACGCCTGCCTACTCAGAACAATTCGACGAATGACATATGTCGCCATGTTTTTTACAATGACATACGGCGGTGCCATCGTGGGTGCCTACTTTCTCATCACATCCGCCACTCATTGTCATCTTTATTTGGTTGTTTTGAATGGTCTTCCTAATAATAAAAATTAATTTTGCATTAGGAAAAATAACCTCACGTGTATTTGTGGTTGGGTTTGTTCAAGAGTGATAAATAAAACAATATAATTAGTAAAATAACTTTATTCTGGTAGATAACGTAATGTGGTGCATTTGCAATACAGTGCAATGTCGAATCAGAAACCCCCATGGGAGGTTTCTGAATAATAATTCCAATATATGATCATAAGGAAACTACAAAAAACTCATGATACCACACTCAACAAAAATTCAATAACAAAAATATTGTGAAATCAGTATGTAAAGGGTACAAGATTTCATTAATCAAACAGAACATTATACTTCTGAATAAACATTAATTTGCAAAATTTTACATTTTACATTTATTTTACATGAGTAAAGTCTGTATGAATATGCTACAGGCCATATACGAGCTCAACATAAAATTTTAAAAAATTAAATAAAACAATTCTATCACATTATGGTAAAAATGGTCAGGTATGTCACATTTGTGATGGTTCATCCATGGAGGTACATGAAATAATTGAAAAACCAGCAGCAAATATTGGAAAATGATTTACCTGGTGGCATTCAACTTTTTCATTTACCATGAATGACCATCAGATGTTTCAAAGAATTTTTATGTTTAATATATTAGAAGATTGTCAGTCTGATGCATTTGTTGATGATATTTTTGAGGACATCATGAAAATTGCAAGGCTGAAAATTTTCAAGAAGTTGTGTCAGACCTGTTTTGAAGGAGGCTTGAACATTGGGCAAATGGGCAAACTTATCCAAAAAACTATACAGTATAAGATGGATAACATCCAGTAGATGACTTAGTTTGTCATTCGCATATATCAGCCTCTGCCTGTTGTTCTGTTTCTTGAAATGAACATACAACTGTAACGGAGTCAACTCATCAGAGAACAGCGCTTCCCGACATGTAGGGCATTGGGGGATGTTAACATCCCTTTTCACAACTTCTCTAACAAGATGACCAGCAACATAGGGAGTAGCATAGTTTTTGGTTTCGTCGACAGGTCCATCACTTTCATCTCCAGAACTTTCAACTTTAAAATTGCAGCTCGGTGAAGAATTACTGTTCTAAAAACATCGCGAAGTTATCTAGTGCATTACATGAATTGTCTTCACAATTCTTGCTTTTTGTCAATGGTAAACTGAAATTGTTTATTATTACAGTTTTTAATGCTACAATAAACTGGTAGCAAGTGGGTTTCGTGTTGGAACTCCCATGTTGAAGGAGAATCACAAATGCTTGCTGTGAAACCAACAGAGCATTCCTTAAATAAAACTGCAAGATCAGAATGACTAATGGGTTGAGTTAGAATTTGACCAACATCTTCTGGAACTGCAAGACAGTTCAAACGTGAATAGGGATTCTGAAGGGAAACATCATCAGAAAGTACGAAGTAGTCTTCGCAAACATAGAAGTTCTCAGATTTTGTACTGGAAGCTAATCCATAGGCATTGTACCATAATTGCGTTTGACTGGGATTTTTTGGGAATCGATGAAATTTCTTGGATTACACATTCAATATGTATTTATTTAGGCATGAAGAATATAGGCACTGTCGTGTATATTTCTTGCTTGTTTTTGCCATAGTAGTATCAAAAGGTTTTAAGTGAAAAATAATAAATACCCTGAGGAACTTTACAATATCATCAAAATAAATGTCATGAAGGTACACACCTATATTTTTTTGAGCCATTCCAATCTTGAAACATGAGTGGCAGACAGAAACTAGAACTGAATATGGGGAAAACACAGTAGGGTTACTGACAATCACTTCTTGAAACACACAATTTATAAAAAAAATAATGTAGGGTAAAATACCCAATTGTTGGCACTTTAAGGGATCTTTAACATTGAATTAAAGGCTAAAATGTTCAAAAGTCAAATTATTCCTCCATAAGTACATCTATACATTGCTCAATCATGGCAGTTTTCGGAAAAATCAAAAAAATTGCTATTAGAATATTCAAAATTGATTAAATATGAAAAAAGCTGAGGGACTACCACTTTCCAAATGTTGGCACTTGGAATCCAATAGTTGGCATATCTTGAGCCATAATGTTGGCACCCTCTTAAGCTAGATTTTCTAGAGCAATTTTATTGCATTAAGGGATGACATAAAATACAAAAATACTATTGTTTGTTTATATTACATTTGACAGTACAAGGGTGGCATTGGAAGTTTTCTGTATACAATTTTCTTTTTTTTAAACATTGCAAATGATACATTCGCATGCATGTTTGACACTTAATGCCTATATTGATTTTGCATATATTATTTGTGCATGAAAAACACAGTCCTGCAGATACTGTTATATTACTTTCAAGGTGAGACTCAGATTCACTTTCGTTCATCAGATCTGTCAAATTTCTAATATGTGTTGCTTTCTTTATCGTTATATTATTTGTTGTATGAACTCCCATTGGTGAACGTTTTTCTGAAGAACATATTTGGTGATTTTGCTCCACTCCTAGAACGGGAGCTTTGGATAGGTTGCGACCATTTTTTCTTCTTTTTTACAGTATTTTTTGACTTTTTCTTTTTTGCTAGTTCTTCCGCTCTCTCCGTGCGTTTTCTTTTGTTTTCACATTTTTTTTTTCTTTGTCTTCTTTAATCTTGTGTTTTTCTTCTAGATTCTTTTTATACGCAGAAGACGATATGACGAAACTAACGCGTTCAGTTTGCCTGGTACCTTTTCTGACAGGAGTTTCTGGCACACCTAAAAATCTTTCAATATGGGCATTTTCACCATTATGCTCTGGACTTGAAGTTGAGCTCTTCTGTAGTGGATTATCACTTAGTTGCCTCGCAGGTTCGGTGGTAATGTTATCAATTTCTGCGTGAATACCACTTCCCATTAATGATAAGTTGATGGTTTCTAATTCACTCTCCGTAAGAATATTTTGATTCAACATATCACCATCGTCATAAGTAAAATTCATAAGCAGTTCGTCACCATTTACCTCAGTGGGTTGTTCTTCGTCCAGCAATACAACCGGCATGTTATTGATCTCCTCCTGAGAGAAAATACATTTCGCACCGGCTGTATTATTTTTCTTTTGGCGTTCCAGAATATTATATATTTTCAATAAAATGTTGAAATTCTCGCAGTCTGAGGAGCAGCAACCACTAATAGCTCCATTTTTGAGTCTTTTTACTAATAGTTCATCGAAAACATTCCATATATCTTCATAATTACTAACATTGGATTGTAGCTGCTCTTGTCTCTCTGATATCTCAGCCCTATTTGTTTTTTTCCCTAGGCATTTACTATAATCCGGAGCATCTGGATTCCATGGGAAAAGGCCACAATCTCTGAATCCATTAATGGTTGACTCTTTGTTAAGTCCATTTATCGCAGTTTCTAAAACTGGTGCGAAATGCTCTTTGCCAAACTGGCAGTAAGGATTTTCATGTCTCCATTGTAGAACAGATTTCTTCCATAAGCTTTTGAGCGGTCTAAAATTGGCTACATCAGCTGGTTGCATAATTCTTGTGCAATTTGGGTATAGTGCAACCAAAACAATTTCGAGTTTGGTACAAACCTCACTCAGCTCCAGAGATAGGTGTGATTTATGACCATCAACGAAAAGAATGATTGGGAATCTAGTATTAATTTGTTTCAAATGGGGATATAAATGGTTTTGTATGTAATCAATGACTATTTCCGATTTCATCCAGCCATTTTCACTCAAACCTATCGCCCATTCATCCGGTATGACATTTGCTACAGCCGACTTGAGCCTCTTGTTTGGGTAGATGATCATTGGCGGCGTTGTTATACCTGAGGCAGAAAATGTAAACATTGCCATCAAATTTTCCTTGGCTTTACCCAGATCAACCTCGTAAACATTTTTTTTACCTCTTGGTGCAATGACCTTTCCCAATTTTGGATTATACTGAAAACATGTTTCATCGCCATTAAATACGCGACTTGGGTCCGCCAATATTGAAAACAGATCCTTCTCTTTAAGGTACTTCTCAATATCTCTGAACCATCCTCTTATATTATTTTCGGAAACAACTGAGGAAGCAGATGTAATCCCTTCAGCAGTGCGCTCACTCAGTTGTGGGTGTCGTTTCATGAATAATTTGTACCAGTGTATACCGGGAAAGTTATTCGTAAATGGATTGTCCCTTTCATGATTATCCAGGAATGACTTCACTGCTAGCTGTAGGTCAATCTGTCTTCTTGGAAAACCCTTCCTGTCATTTTCCAATATTCAATTGACAATTTTAGCTTCCTCTTCTTCAGTCAAGTATGTTCTGCGACCTCGTTTTGCTCCAGCTAACTTGTTTTTCAGTCGAAACTGGATAGTGGCTCTAGGTATCCCGTACTTCTGGGCAACTGATTTTTTTGATTCACCAGCCCGGTCATCTTTGAGTGCCTGTTGTAGAGTCTGCTCTGAGTAGGTGGCAGATTTTTGCCTGAAAATTTAAAAATTTCTATTAATCCTTGAGATAGAAAGTTTTGTACACCTACCTGGATAGGCGTGCTAATAAAGCGAATATCGTGAAATAACTGAACCAAATCTTGGCATCCCCAAATTTTGAGGATTTTACTATTTTTTTTCAAAATCAAAATTATTTTAGTTTAGTGAACTAATTAATTGCCTACCAGAAGCATTTAAATAATTTTGTATCATCCAAGTAACGAATAAAGCATCAGCAAACATGAGTCTACAGATTCTAGTCAAAGTAAGCGATATGTATGATTAAATACAGACTGAAATACTTCATACTTACTTTTTTGTACACCATTTCCCTACTTTTCTTTTCATAATCGATTTATCTGTGTGATTGCTCCTATTTCCGTTCGACATTTGGAAAATAAAGCTGAAAGAAAAAGGTGCCAATTATTAGGATGTGATAATCATCAACAACCAAGCTGTCTAGCACACGGTGTCAACATTACGGAAAATCATTATTTTTGTACCAATACTTGGCACATTATTTTTTCGGTATTTATTAAGAGAAAATCCATAAATATATCAAATTTATGTTATGTAAGCGTAAGACAATGTGACAAACATGAAATATTCACTTTTATTTGCCTAGAGTGAAAAATTATGCAGGATGAGATACCTACCTTGTTACAAATTTTACTATTTTCAAGCGACACTGATGATGCGCGTCTGGTCGGAACCATATATCACACACAACTGATCCGTCACAATGTAGCCAAATCGTTGGATATTTGTGGAAATTGTTGCCAAACCATAAAAAAGGTGTGAAATCCCCATATATTCAGCAATAACTCGAAAATTCGAAGTAATTCAGAACTAGTGCCAACATTTAGACAGGTGACAACATTTGGGTATTTTACCCTATGCACAAAGGAACCGATGATACATTTGGCGCCAGTTGCTACGGAGGTGGGTGGACGAGACGACGACGGTCGATCAGTGATCAGCCGCCAACTAGTTTACTAGTTTAGGAATGCCTATTATGTGCTGTAAATAAGTACTACTACTATACAACAGCGGCGTCAGGGAGTCCAGTTCTATATGGAGTTCCGCGGTGTCAAACTTTCAACCTTTCGAATTTCGAACTGTCTGTAGAAATCGTAACGAAGGAAAGAAATTACAAAGTTGAGATTGAAACTATATATATTTCTTGAAAAAAAAACGCCGTATGCTATGTATAAGAATCCCCCGAAAAGAGAGGTCGGCTACCTTATATGTTATCTCCTATGACTACAAGAAGTCGCAACACTTGCATTCAGATATGCTATGTCTAATATTACACAATTTACTGGGCAATGTGATGTGTTACGAAAGAACCCCCGCCCCCAGATATGTCTATGGCGTGATCTACTGCTAGGTAAGTATGCGCACTGAAAGGTGAAACATGTACAAAGTGATCTTAAACTATAAACTAGTGGATAATCTCACAGCGAACAAATCTGGTACTCTGTATTTCAGCTGTCCAAGAAACCTGAAGTCTTACATAAACCTTATAGTCTAGTCTGTCCCGTAATCTCTGGAACAACCTGTTGGAGGTCCCTTGGTGGTGTTAACTAGCCCTCATATGGTAAAATGTAGGAATGTAGCAGAAAGCCAGCCAAAGCGGTACAACATTAAGGTTTCAAGTGATGCTTGGTTCAACGTAGTAGTTTATCCTCTGAGGTTGCAGAATGTAGTTCGGATCAAATCCTGGTCTCAGTTATATACGAAGAATGAAGAAAAGAACGTACAGGAAGTAGAAAACATTGAAGGAGAGAAGAGAAGAAAGAAAAAGGCCTGTGGACAAAAGTCAAGCATAAGTTACATGCACTACAAAGCCATTAATCAGGGACTACATGAGTGCTTCAAGCATAAGCCAAATGCAGCAATAAAAAGGTAAGCTACCTACCTAGGGTGTAGGGTGGCCTTTAAAGTGGAGGGAAATCTTCCAATTTTAGTGATCCCACAATACTAGTGGTGCGAACGCCTACAGCAATTGAAATTGTGAAGATTTTCCTTTTATTCAGCTATTTTTCGGAACCAAAACCGCACTTGCGAAACAGACCCTCTGTTCGATACCGAAAAATTGCAATGACGATCTTTTTTTCCTTACTTGTTGCGCGCGTCTCGCGCCTGACATTTCCACGCCAGTTGGCATGCTTTGATTTTCACCTTTGACAGTGACAGTCGACTTGACACCTATCCAAAAGCTTCATTACTATAATGTCGGGTTCATGCACGACTTAACGTAACCGAATTTAAGGATCAGCTGTTTCTACACCAGTGTCCTCCACATGTTACGCCGCCAGAAGGTAACTAGCTAGTGATTTCCAGTGGTGGTCAAACGTTTTGGTGACGTCACACCCATTTTTTGATATGATTCGGGTGGTTTCGAAACTCGTCTTACCCTTGGATAGCCCTTTCCATACTGTTCTATGCTCGTATTGACGTAATTATAATAATTCTGTGGTGTCTCGTGTTCCACGACGATTTACCGAGAAAGCCAGGCGGTTGTTTTTGTTTGAGTTGTTGACGAATTTGCGGTAGAGATCTGTTTTGGTGTTCGTCTTCGGGCGTGTTTTTCTGCGTTGGACTTGTTTTTTGTGCGTTTAATTGAGGATGGCCATGCCTAGAGCAAAAAAAACGAAAAGCTGCGCTGGTATCAACTCCTGACCTTGTTGAAGAGGTACCTGCAGAAAGCACCTGAACGCAATCGGACATCGCCATTGCATAAACGACTAAATATATTGAGGTTATGGTCGTTTTCTTATTTCAAGGTCACTTCTTAAAATAAAGTTCAATATATTGAACTTTATCTTAAGAACCAACCAATCGGATCACTAGCGTTGGTCAGCTGATCGCTACAGCTGGAATTAGAAGATGGCTACGAGCCATCGATACTGTACAAAAGTCGATAGTCGATATTTATATCGTGATGTTTGATCGATTTTATATGGGCAGATGGTATGGTTCGGGGATAGTTGTATGAAAAATTATTTGCGCTTGCTTATGCATGACAGTTTAGAGCTGAACATCGGGGCGGTCATGTTTACTTCATCCCCTAACAAAGTGCGTATAGTGGTAGTTTCAGCAAAACATATCATTATTGCTACAGCATAAAGTAGATCAAAAAACAGCATGAAAAAAATAAACATGGGTCCTAAATTGCCCCTTACCAAGATAGAGGATTTTGAAATTATATTCTAGAGAACGAAAAAAAAAAATGGAAATGATCTTAAAATTGTGTGCTTGTAGTACTTCATAGCTGATAGATGCAAACACTTTCATGTCTGAGACTGTACCAGTGGTGATGTTGGCAAATTATAGCCCCACAGAACACTGTGAAGGTACTTTGTCATTAACTACAAACCAGGTGTACACCTGGCGAATGCTGTGTATTCGCAGCCCACCAAATATGTAATCTCTTTTGACGTTTATTGAGATAAACAGATGAGTAGCACGTAACTTTTTTTGTGACATCTGTACTGTTGGTAATAACAAATCTGATAAAGGGCCAAATTAAGAACTGGCGTTTGGTATCACCAATGAAAATTTGTTTACACACAGAATTTTGGCAATCAAATGTATACTGCTAGATTGGGAATTTATACATATGTACAGAGCAGTATCATCTGAAGGGGCGTGGTGAGATGACTATGTTTCTGTTTAGTGTTTGCTGACCAAATATGACAGTGATGTTATGCTTATCATTTTTTTTTTGTTTCAGTGTCAACATCCTTCGAGGAGACAGTTGGAATGAAGTTCGTCATTTATTTTATGGATACCAAATTAATTGTCAATGACATAAGGAGTTTGTTTCCTAGTTTGAAGAAACAATTAGTGTTTTATGTATTTTTTTTTGTTGAGCACAATTTTGTTTGCCTTTACCCATTAAACAGTGTGCGCAAAACTATGTTTGGTTCACATATCAGAGTGATTATATTTGTATTCCAGTCAGTCCTCTAACTACAGATGTATTTTTTGTTATTTTAGTATTTATGTTTGCGCAATAAATATACATGATCAATTAACAAGAGATAGTGCTTGCATGATATTGCACTGATCAGGTTCATAATATAGAGAAAAATCCGGATGAGTAGAATACTTCTATGTATGTGCAATTTATTGTAATGAAGAATTTGTTCTATTATTGCTGGGACTGTTCAATAAATATTTTTTTAATTAGGTATACATTTTTTATTATCCTGAAATTCATTACTAGTCAAACTGATGAAAGAAATACTTCCTTTATTGAGGATGTGTTATACATCTATGATCATCGAACTGTCTCAATATCGGGAAGTCGGTCAGATTTCGTAATGTAAACAACTGAAATCGCCGACACATTCCTGACATTCCTGATATGCGTTGTCGGATACTTTCAATATTTTTAGTTCCACCAGATTTCCAGCCAATAAATGTAGCGCTGCCGTCGTTATAGTTCAAGAAATATCTTCACATCTGCTCAGGAAAATATTCGGATTCGGACTTTTTGCATGTTATTCGAAAAAGCCTCCTAGTAACAAATCTGCATGTTGTCTCTAATTGTTTGAACAACTTTTTCAAATAAATTACAAAAAATAATGTTTTCGCTTTATCAAAGGTAGCATTCGTTTTTTTTTGATACTCCGAAATAAAACGATGTTTGACAATGTTTGTCAAAAGTTGATTTTGTACGAGATGGGAAAGTACAAAAAATTTATTTTGCGATACCGAAAAACGATCTGAAAAAACGAAAATGTTAATGTCGCCATGCTTCATAAATAACCATTAACGATACCTTTTAGGAGATACTGTTATTATAAATCTTTGTATTTAATTTATATGCAAGCGGACGCTCAATGCATATTCAGCGTGCACGAGAGATATTTCATCTCTCTCGCGTTCACATAGGCATAGACTATACATTGAGCGCGCATTCAAATGCTCTGGGGGTTTTGTTATTGGTTGGTTGAAGCATGTGTGAGATTTGGCAACATCAAAATATTCATTTTTCATATTGTTTTTAGGGTAGCAAATGACATATTTTGAGTTTTTACATTGCTTATACCTGTATATATCAAGTCTAGAGAAAAGTGCTAAAGCTCATTTTTTATTTAGAATGTCCTAAAAACCGCAAAATACTTTAAACAAAGCGAACAAATCAATTTTTGGAATCGGTTTAATAACAATTTTTGGAGCAATTTTGGGCCTAGTCACATGCAGATTCTTTAAGAGGTCCTTGAATCAGATTATGCAAAAATAGGAATCGGAAGAGTTTTCCGAGCAGATGTTCCGATATTATCTGGACTATTATCCGAGTTCTGTGACTAATTTCCAGTGCATTGGCGCAAGCGTGTGGGGAGGGGCCACTTGTCAATGTCAAGGCTGGTCCGCCAGTCCACGTGACACATAAGCCACAAAACACTCTTTCATCTGCTACCTTGACGTTAAACATATGATTTTGTTAGTGTGTTTAATGTTGATATTGTCGCCATTGCCACATTGGCAATCCTGGCCGCGCATGCGCTTTAAATGCTCATTTTCTTAAGTTAAGTTACGTTAAGTCTTGCATGAACCTACCTTAAAGGTTATAAAATTATAAACAATGACTAGTGTTGCTTCAGGGGCACTAATTTATAAAAGGGAACAAGTAATTTGACTACAATAGTATGAGTTAAGTATCTGCTACTTATTAAGTTTTGTTTCAGGTTCACCAGAAAGGAGA